AAAATAAAAAACAAAATAAAACAAAAAAATGATCTTACTAGCCTAAAATGTGACCTAATTTAGGGAATACTCCAAGGGCTTCTGAGAAGAATGTATATTTTATATCTGTTGAATATTCTATGAAATATCTATTACATCCATTTGATGTATGGTGCAGATTAACTGCATTTTTTAAAGATTTATTTTTATTTTTGTTTATGTGTAGGTGTGTGTGTGTATGTATGTGTATGTGGGTGCCCATGAATGCCAGAAGAAGGTGTCAGGTCCCCTGGAGCTGGAGTTACAGGTCGTTGTGAGTCACCTACATGGGTGTTGAGATTGAACTCAGGTCTTCTGGTTCTCTTAAACCTGAGCCAGCTCTCCAGCCCCAACTTTGAAGTTTTTTCTAATTGCTGTTTGGCCTGAATGACATACATATTAATGAGAGTGGAGTGTTGAAGTTACTCTCTATTATCGCACTGTTATACTGTGTTATTGTATTGTGTTCTTTCATGTCCATTTAAAATTTATTTAAAGAAACTGGAAGCCCCAATGTTCAGTGCACACGAGCTCACACACACACACACACACGTGTGCACACACATACATACACACTTACTCTATTATCTTGGAGTGCTTTGTTTATTAATATGTAATGGGCATCTTTTGACATATTATTTTTATTTTACGGGTATGAGTATATTACCTGCATGTGTGTAAGTGCACCCATGTTGTGCAATGCCTGTGGAGGTCAGAAGAGGGTGTTGAATCCCTTGGAAGTGGAGTTATGGACAGTTTGTAGCTGTCATGTGGGTACTGGAAATTGAACCCAGGTCCTCTGCAAGAGCAGCCAGTGCTCTTCATCACTGAGCCATCTCTCCAGCTCATAATTGGCATCCTTAACTCTTCTGACTAATTTTCATCTGAAGTCTACTTTACTGGTTATCCGGATGGCTCTGCCAGTTTGTTTTCCACTTTCATTTGCTTGGTAAATAGACTTCCACCCTTTCACTCTCAGTCTGTGATGGTTTTTGCCAGTGAGATGTGTTTCCTGAAGACAAGATATCTGGACCTTGGTTTTTAATCCAATCAACTAGTCTGTGTCTTTTAATTAGAAGGTTAAAGGTATTTCCACTCAGGGGCTAGAGAGATGGCTCAGTGGTTAAGAGCACTGACTGCTCTTACAGAGGATTTGGTTGTTCAGTTCCCAGCACCCATATGGCAGTTAACAAATATCCATAATTCCAGTTTCTGGGGATCTGACACCTTCTTCTGGCCTTTGCTGACATTGTATGACACTGATGCACTTACATACATGTAGACAAAACACTAATACATAGAGAATAAAAATAAGTAAGTCATACATGCATATAAAACACTAATACATATAGAATGAAAATAAATACACAAATAGAAATTGAACCATTTACACTTAGGATTATTATTCAGTGATATTTGATGATTACTATAATTTGGTTGGTTGTTTTCTGGTTGATTGGATTTTTGTTTATCCTTTTCTATTCATATTAGGTGTTCGTTGGTTTATTGTATTGCAGATGATGGATTCCTTCTCAATTCTCCCTTTATCTCTTCTTCTCAAAAAATGCATTCTTTCCTGTGCCTTCTTGCTCCAGACTCTTTCTTCCTTCTCTACATCTAAGATTCCTTTAAGTATCCTTTTTACTACTGGGTTGGTAGCCCTGAATTGCTTTAGTTTACCCTTGAAATATCCTTATTTCTCTATCAATTCTGAAAGATAACTTTGCTGCATACAGCAATCTTGAGGGGCAGTTATTTGCCTTCAGGTCTTGGAATATATCATTCAATTCTTTCCTGGATTTTAGGGTTTCCTTTAAGAGGTCTAAAGCTATTGTAAAAAAGCTGTTGCTTTGGTAGGTAAGATGGTGTTTTTCTCTCAAAGCTTTTAATATTGCTTCTTCATTTTGAATGTTTACATCTTGACTATAATGTGTCATGAAGAGCTCCTCTGACTGTGTCTACTTGGGATTCTAAATGCCTCTTGTACTTGGATGTCTATTTCTTTCCCTAAATTGGGGGAATCTCCTAGTATAAGTCATTGCTTTTTCAGTCTAATCAGCTAATCTGTGTCTTTTAACTGCAGAATTAAAACCACTTACACCTTGAGTTATATTGGAGAGGGTTGCCTTTAGTTTTAATCTCAGCTCTTCTACACCAGGGCCCCTTGGTCTGGTCCCAGAGTTCTTGGAAGTTGTGACCATTCTCTTTTTTTCTTAACTAACTGTGGCACGTCCTTGACCTTCTTCTCCATCCCAATATTCCTTCCTCTGCTTGATCAGATATATTGTTGATGCTTGCCATTTTGAGATTTTTATTTGATTTAGTTTTTTGTTTCCAAAAATTCTATTTGGATTTTCATCAAAGTCTCACTTTCATTATTGGTGACTTTTTCATCCATATTGCTGATTGAGGGGGGAAAAAAAAAGCAACTATGCTGCTATCTTTCCTCTCCAGGTTCTGGGCTGATTTCTTACATCCTCTGCCTGGTTTTTTTGTTTGTTTTTTCTTTTTAAGACAGAATCTTCCTGTAGCCCCAGCTGACCTGGAACTCACTTTGTAGACCAGGCTGGTCTCGAACTCACAGAGATCTGCCTGCCTCTGCCTCCCAAGTGCTGGTATTAAAGCCATATGCCACCATGCCTGCCTCATCTGCCTGTTTGTATAGTTTTGAGAACACTAATCATTTTTACGAGTAAGCATTTAAATTCCTCATCCAGCATTTTATACATTTCAGTATTTCTGAATTCAGCAGGTGAGTTGTTCAGATCTTTTAAGAGTCAGGCTGCCCTGCCTTTTCATATTTATTGTTTCTTTGTGGTGATTTGCACAGTGTTGGATATCCCTTCAGGTTTTATTTGGGATCTTCTTAGTGAGCAGTCCCTTCAAGACTCAATCCTCAGGACCACTCAAAAAGAGTAAACAAACTGCTGTAACAACAGCAAAAAACCTAAAAACTTATAGAAATAGATTCAAACTGATTAAACTCACTAATGCATCACCAATTTTCATAAAATAGAAACTGTCAAAACTAGTGCAGAATGTGCTACAAAGTTCAAAATCATCAAGCCAGCCATGGTGGTGCATCTGGGGGTGGAGGAATGAGGATTGGAAATTCAAGACCAGCCTCAGCTACATAAAAAGTTTGAGGCTGGACTAGGATAGAAAAGAATGTGTCTCAAAAAAAATTTACTTAAGGTAAATGTAAAAATAGCAACTGGATGTCATAAAGGACACGAACAGGGAAAGGGGGAATAGAGGAGAAGGTGAAATCAAAGAAAGGAAAAAGAACAGTGGAGAAGAATGTTAGGAAGGAGAAGAGCAAAAAGCAGATTGAGATTTTATTCATTTAAAACATTTATTTTTTGAGAATTTCACACACGATTACTATATATCATTCCCATCCCTCCTACCCCCCTCTTCAATGCCTCCTGTGCCTCCCCACTCTCTCTCAAATTCATGACCTCTTCTTTAATTATTATTGTTAAAGTTCTTTTAAAAAAGATTGCCTGATAATGAAAAATTCATAAACAAAATTAAATAAATGTAAGAACAAATAAAAACAAAAGATTTCTTTCTCTTTCTTTTTTAAAGACAGGATCTCACTATTAGTCCTGTCTATCCTGGAGCTCTCTTTATAGTCCAGGCTAGCCTGGAATTCACAGAGACCCACCCGCCTCTGCCTCCTGAGTGCTAGGATTAAAGGTGTATGTCATCACTCTAGCAGAAAAGATTCCTTTAAAAAAATAGTTTATTGAGAATTTCATACATGCATATAAGGTGTTTTGATCAAATCCATGCCCACTGTCTCCCCTCCAACTCCTCCCATATCTCCCCATCACTTTTTGCAGAAAAGATTTCTTAAAAAACAAAGGAAGAAGGAAGGAAGGAAGGAAGGAAGGAAGGAAGGAAGGAAGGAAGGAAGGAAAGAAGGAAAGAAGGGAGAGAGAGAAAGGGAAGGGGAGGGGAGAAGAAAGAAGGGGAAGAGAGGGGAGGAGAGGAGAGGAGGATGTACCAGGGAGATGGCTCAGCAGGTAAAGGCCCTTGCTGCCTAGCTGCTGACCTGAGTTTGATCACTGGAAACCACATGGTAAAAGGACTTCCACAGGTTGTCTTCTGACATCCACATGCAGGCTATGGCACATGTATGCCCCTTACACCCACATATACACACACGAAAATAGATGAATAAAATTTAAGAAAAGGGCTGGATATGGTGGCACACGCCTTTAATCCCAGCACTCAGGAGGCAGAGGCAGGTGAATCTCTTCGAGATTGAGGCCAGCATGGTCTACATAGCAAGTTCCAGGCCAGCTGGGGCTACATACAGGGAAATCGTGTCTCAAAAAAACACAACACAACAAAACAAAATGAAATAGAAAATAAAAAAGATAAGAATCAAAATATACTAAAAGTATAGTAAAAAGGAGAAAAAGTAGAAATAAAAGAGGAAAAAAGAATAGTAGAAACATAAAGATTTTTCCAATAATTTTAAAATGTATAAACAAAATTAAATAAATAAGGAAAATTAAAACATGCAAGCTTTTTTTTTTAAAAAAATCATGGGATAAAGCAATTTATAAGGAAGTGAATAAGTTGCTTTGGGAAGACTGAATTTACAAAGCATTTCTTTTTTTTTTTGGTCTTTTTGAGACAAGGTCTCCTTGTAGCCCCAGCTGTCCTGGAACTCACTGTGTAGACTAGGCTGGCCTTGAACTCACAGAGATCCACCTGCCTCTGCCTCCCAAGTGTTGGGATTAAAGGCGTGCGCCACCACGCCTGGCTGCAAAGCATTTCATACAGAACATCTCAAATAATCTTGATCATCTTTATACACCCATCCCCACTGGCACCCTCCCATATATGTCATCTGTGCCCCCTGCCACAGCCCATATACTCTATCATCCCTGTTAAGGCCAAGGCTTCTCAAATATGTTTTAACAATTTATACAATCCTTTTTTTCTTTTTTTTTCTTTTTTTTGGTTCGGGGAGTTTCAGTCATTCAAATGTTCACTGGTCAGAACACTGAGCATAGACATAGCCTATCTCCTCTCTGCCACCTACTGACACATATGTGACACATGTCAGTCACACTTGCAGTGCCTCTAGGGGCAGTCATTCAAGCTTTTTTTAAAAAGTAAAATAGGATCTGAAGAGATGGCTTAGTGGTTAAGAGCACTGGCTGCTCTTCCAGAGAACCTGGGTTCAGTTCCCAGCACTTACATGGTGACTAACAACCATCTATAACTCCAGTTCCAGGGGATCCAACACCCTTGTCTGGCTTCTGCAGGCATTGCATGCATATGGTGCACTTACACTCAAACACATAAGTAAAAATAATAAAATAATAAAAAAAGAAAAAAAAATAATATTACAAGGAGACCCTATCTTTAAGAACAGACAAAAAAACATAAAGTCAAAGTACCACCAAAAGTAAGTAAAAAGAAAAAAAAGTAAGTGGGACAGGGTGGTACACGCCTTTAATCCCAGCACTCAAGAGGCAGAAGCAGGGGAAATCTCTGTGAGATCAAGGCCAGCCTGGTCCACATAGTGAGTTCCAGGCCAGCTGGGGCTACAGGGAGACCCTGTCTCAAAAAGACCAAAAGAAAAAAAGAAGGATGTTGATACAATACCGAGTGAGGGGACTGGAGAGATGGCTCAGTGGTTAAGAAAACTGAATGTTCTTGCAGAAGACCCAGGTTCAGCTCTCAGCACCCACATGGCAGCTAACAACTATCTGTAACTCCAGTTCTAGGGATTCCAATGCTCTCTTTTGACCTCTGTGGGTGTTGCACGACATGGGTGAACTTCCATATATGCTGGCAATATACGCATATACATTAAAAAAAAAAAAACCTAGTGAGATACACAGAGGAATGCCACATAATAATGATCGAAATTAGGAGTCCTTTATTAATACCTGGCTGTCAGAGAGGGGGCTAATGCCCAAAAGAACTCTCGACCCCAAGGAGAAGCAGGGCAGGGTTTATAAAGCTTAAAAACCACAATTATATCATGCCAAGGGCAAAACCAATAACCTTAGTTACATCAGACCAGAGGCAGGTCAGTTAACAAAGTTTTCAGTTACCAATAAGTTTTGGTTATGGTTGGATGGGAGAAAATGCTATGTGGACATGCTACCTGGCTACTTGTAAGTTTCCCAGTATTGTAGAAACAATGTACTCCCTGAGACTACCTGCATGAGACATTCTTCCGGACTGGGTGCAGTGGGAATGGCTGGGCAAAAACACAGGGTAAAGGAAAAGTCAGAACAAAATGGAGTTCATTTTGCCGTTTCAGTTGATGTGGCTTCTTCCTGGGTCCTGGAAACTTAGATTTTTCCAAGTTGATGGAGGCAGGGTCGGGGAGGTCAGCTGAATGTGCAGGCTCTTGTCTTGCCTATGATTTATGCTAGGCTGAGCCTGCAGTGGACAAGTGTCAGATGTCTATCACAGCTGTCCTCACTTTAGTAGCTTCTCCTCTTTGGATACCAGGGGTGTCTGCTGGCCACACTTAACCTTGCAGTTAGTCTGTGGCCTGGTCAGATTCTCCACTCTTCTGAGATATTCAAGATCAAAACCCATCGGGTAGCTAATGTTCTGGGTAGGGGGAGGAGGAAGGCAGATTTCTCCCAAATACACACTGAAATCTGTTTAGACCTATGGCCATACTTTCAAAACCAGCTTAGCATTAATAACTCTGCTGGAGGGGTATGGCTGTAGAGTCTGCTGGAGCTTCCAAGTTCCTGGTTTCTACAGCAGTTATCCTCATGGTAGGTGGCTCCAAAGGTTGATCCGCTTATTCTTAGGGTGTGGCTACCTTTCTCTGTACACTCCACTGCCTAACTGGACCTCCTGCCCTTCAGCTCTTTCTAAGTCTGGACTCTCACCCTGTGGTTGTAGTAGACTAAATTCAGGCTCCCAGACTACGATTGTTCCCATCCTCAGGCCTCCAAGGTAGCTCACTTTTAAACAATAGGATCCCCATCAAGATCCCCAGCCACAATGCTCCAGGTTATGAGGAGAAACAATGGAATTCTCCCTTTCTGGCTCTTCCCTCCAGAGAAGTGACTGTCTTACCAAGACCTGCTTATGGACTTGAGGCTTTTGAGAGCTGCGGGCTTGTCCTATGGGTAGATCTGCCAACCTCTTTTCACCAGGGCCTTGGGTTTTATCTTTGGGATGTGGCTTCTGCTCCCCCTCCCCCTGCCTGGACTTACTTTGTTCACTTCATAGTCCTTGTAGTCTCTGTACTTCTCAGCTGTCCTACCACTCTGAATTTCCCATACTCTTCTTTGCTATAGAAGTGAGGGTGTCCTTTCTCACCTTTGCCATCACACTGAGGCAGTTCTAATCTGTCTCACCTAGAATCTATGCTAATTCTTTTCAACTCTAGAAATTCAAAAGATTTCTTTCATACCTGTTAAGGTTCACATAGCTCTGCCCCCTTACCAACAGGGCCTCATGGACTTTACAAGCCCCTGAGAAGAGGGAACCGAACTGATAAGCACCCAGGTCTTTGAAGTCAGGAGAAGCAGACTTTTCTCCACTGTTTGGCCAACACAGCAGGCCTCCCCTTTGATCTCTAAAGAGGGCAGGTTTTAACAGTTCCGCTCTCCCACTCCTCCCCTCCCCCACCCCACCCCCCAACAGCTGTCCTGGAACTCACTATGTAGACCAGGCTGGCCTTGAACTCACAGAGATCCACCTGCTTCTGCCTCCCAAGTGCTGGGATTAAAGGTGTGCGCCACCCGCCCTGCCCGATGGAGTTTTATCTGTGTCCTGGTGCTTTCTCCTGATCAACCAGATGCATCCATGGCCTGCTTTATCGATACCATTCCTCTCATGATATAGCATGGCAGACTCTGGCATTTGGTATCTTGAAGGTCTGAATAGTCTTCTCTTCCTGGGTTTTACAGCTTTTCTTTAACCTTGAAAACAAAAGCCTGGCTGGACATGGTAGTGGTGCATACCTGTAATCCCAGCAAAGGGAGGCTTCGATGGAAGAAGAGTTTGAGGCTGGTTTAGGCTACATAGTGAATTTGAGCCCAGCCTGAGCTACAGGAGGACAATAAGGAAACTCAGTCAGTTTGTTCTCTCCTGTTCATTCTCTTTTGTCCTCTCTCTCTCTCTCTCTCTCTCTCTCTCTCTCCCTCTCTCTTCCATAAAAGCAGAATATAGGCAGGTCTCTAGCAGGCCATCCCAGTGCTGTGACCATCCAATGATACCACCAAACATTTTCCCATGGTAAAGCAGTTCACAGATCAGGAGTTTTGTCTTTAACCTGCTGCCTTTAGGGATAGATATATCAGGTTAATTCACCAGCAAGAACCCATTCTTTACCCACTGTGTAAATAAACAATATCTAAATGACACTCTGTATGTTTGCTATTATCTATTCCTTTTTTAAAAATTGTACTTTAAATTATATGTGTGTGTGGCTGTGTGTGGGTATATGTGTATAAATACAGGTGCCTATGGAGGCCAGAAGAGGGCATCAAATCCCCTGGAATTGGATTTAATGTGGTTGTGAGCCACCCAGTGAAGGTGCTGAGAACCAAACTTGAGTCCTCTGGAAGAGCAGCAAGTGTTCTTAACCGCAGAGACATCTACCTGGCCCCTATTATCTCTTTCTTACCTTTAGCCCTGCAAACTATAAAGGGTAAAATTGATCAAGTGATTTGAGTTACTAAGAAAGAACCCAAATTCCTATGTTGTGAGATGGATGGATGATCTATGATTAACTCTAGATTTAAGAATTAGTTGTAAGAAAATATGATCATGGGCTGGAGCAATGAATGACTCAGCGGTTAAGAGCACTGACTGCTCTTGCAGAGGACCCGAGTTTGATTCCCAAAACCCATATGATGGTTAACAACTGTTGATAACTCCAGTTCCAGGGGAATCTGATGCCCTCTTCTGATCTCCTTGGGCATTGCACAATACAGGTGCACTTACATACATGCAGGCAGTACACTCATACACATAAAATAATAATAAATAAAGCTGGGTGTCATGGTGCATGCCTTTAATCCCAGCACTCAGGAGGCAGAGGCAGGTGAATCTCTGTGAGTTCAAGGTCAGCCTGGTCTACATAGTGAGTTCCAGGTCAGTTGGGGCTACAGGGAGACCCTGCCTCAAAAAGACCAAAAATACTACTACTACTATTACTACTACTACTACTACTAATAATAATAATAATAATTTTAAAAATCTGATCATAAAATGTCAGTAGTTTTGGGAGCTGGAGAGATGGCTCAGCAGTTAAGAGCACTGGCTGTTCTTGCAGAAGACCCAGGTTTGACTCCAAGCGCCCACATGGTGGCTGACAACCATCTGTAATTCCAGTTCCAGGGGATCTGATGCCCTCTTCTCTCCTCTGCAGGCACTGCACAAGATGAGTGCATTTACACACATGCAGGCATAATACTCATACACATAAAATAAAAATAAATACAATAAAGAAATACATTTTAAAAACCTTTTAAATGTCAGCAGTTTTATTAGAGATAAAAATCTTAGCTCACAGCCGGGCATGGTGGCACATACCTTTAGTCCCAGCACTCAGGAGGCAAAGTCAGGCAGATCTCTGTGATTTCAAGGCCAGCCGGGTCTACATGGCGAGTTCCAGGCCAGCAGGGGCTACAGGAGACCCTGTCTCAAAAATACAAAAGTACCAAAAAAAAAAAAAAAAATCTTAGCTCATGCTTGGGTGTGATGGTACACACCTTTAATCCCAGCACTTGGGAGATGGAAGTAGGCTGATCTCTGGGAGTTTGAGGCCAGCCTAAGTTCTAGGCCAACCAGGCTCCAAAGTAAGATCCTGTCCCAAAACAAACAAAACTTAGCTCATATTCTTTACAGTATCTAATCAAAGCCTCCAATGAATCTATAAAATATTCACCTAGAAAGATCCATTTTACTTATAAAATGCATCTGTTTCTTCCTTTAGTTTGGAAAAGAGAAATAGACATTTGGAAGATATAATGAGATCATCCACAGAGAAAGCCAGAAAGCCAAGGTAAGTTGGTGGTGGCAGCGGCGGTAGCAACACATGCCTTTAGTCCCAGCACCGGGGAGGCAGAGGCAGGCAGATCTCTGTGAGTTCAAGGCCAGCCTGGTCTACATAGTGAGTTCCAGGTGGGTGGGGCTACAGGGAGACCCTGTCTCAAAAACAGAACAAAACAAAACAAAATAAAAAACAATGTCTTATCTAGAATGATGATGTATGCCTTTAATCCCAGTACTTGGGAAGCAGAGGACAGGAGTTTGAGGCCAGTCAGGGCTACTTAGTGAGACCCTGTCTCAGAAAAACAAAAACAAAAAACAAACAACCAACAACAACAAAAAGATTAATGCCTTTAAATATACATACAGTAAATAATACATTTTTAAAACTTCTCCCCTTGTATAGTTATTATATATGAAAAGCTAAATTCTATGAATGTATTTTGTATTTGCCTAGTATAAAACAGTTGCTTGTTAGAAGTTTTTTGTGCTGGGCATGATAGCGCACACCTTTAATCCCAACACTCATATCTGTGAATTCAAGGCCAGCCTAGTCTACATATCGAATTCCAGGCCAGTTAGGGCTACAGGGAGACAATGTCTCAAAAAGACCCCCCAAAAAAGTTTTTTTTAACCTTTCCATGGTGATATATATCTACTTGGCAGCTGAGGCAGGAGGATCTCAAGTTTGAAGCTAGCCTGGGCAGTTAAATAACATCTTGTCTCAAAAGAAGGTTTAGTTTTTAATTTTATTTTTGAGATAATCTCAATTATTTTTATTTTATGTGTATGAGTGTATTACCTGCATGTATGTGAGTGCACCCATGTCGTGCAATGCCACGGAGGTGCTCTTAACCGATGAGCCATCTCTCCAGCCCTTATTTATTATTTTTTATGTGTATGAGTGTAGTGCCTGCATGTAGGTAAGTGCACCCGTGTTGTATAATGCCCGTGGAGGACAGAAGAGGCTGTCGGATTCCCTGGAACTAGAGTTATGGACAGTTGTTAGCTGCCATGCGGGTGCTGGGAATTGAACCCGCATCTTCTATAGGAACAGTCAGTGTTCTTAACTGCTGAGCCATCTCTCCGGTCCTGGTTTTTTTGTTTTAACTGTAGTTTTCTGTTGTGTAGAACAGAATGCAATTGGCCATCCTCCCAAGTCCTGAGATTACAGGCATGATCCATCACACCTAATTCAAACAAGTATTTTGTAGAGCCTGAATTAGAAAGCCAGGCTGCCCACCCTATGAAACCTTTAAACAGGATGCTATAAGGATTAGGGGCTAAAAGTGCTTACTCTGCAATATATTTGATAATCAGGCTTTCTTATAGTAACATTACATCTTAAGATCTGTTATTTTAGAAGAGTCACGGTCTTATAGTCCAGTGTAACAGGGCACGTACACCAACCTTGTAGGTTAATTAAGTACACAGTTGGGTCCCAGCTTTTGCAGTATATAAACTAAAATTGAGGAATTTAGACAAAAATCAAACTTAACCAGTTGCTTTGTAAATGCTAATTTAAAGCTGCTCAGGAGTTATGATTTCCTGAACAGCTATGGGTTTTCTCTGAGTTGTAAAAACTATGAATTCTTTTTTCTAGAATTATTTTTAAGTAATACAGTTTTCATATGACTTTGCATGTTTCACAAGCGGAGACTTTTTTTAAAACATGGTTTATTTTTATACTTAATTCAAGGCTCATTTTTATAGATTTAGATTGGCCTTCAAACAAGGGAAAGATATCTCAAGGCATTCCCCAGCTTGTAAGTTTGTTTGTTTAACTCCAGACCCACTGCAGCCTTCAGACATGATCAATGGTGAAACCTTGACTGATCTATTGACCTCAGTGCATTCATCAGAACAGCAAGCTTCTGATATCCTTTGCATCATCTCAAAATTATGGTGCTGATTTGTGGGGATGTCTTTGATAGAGGAAATAGTGGGAAATTGGGATATAAAAGAACAAGTTAATAGTATCAGATGTCTATTATTTTTATTTATCTTTATTTTATGTGTATGTCAATGCCTGCATGTGTGTAAGTGCACCTGTGTCTTGCAATGCTCCAGGAGGACAGAAGGGGGCATCGGATCCCCTGGAACTGGAATTTTGGATGGTTTTTAGGTGCCATGTGGGTGCTGGGATTTGAAACCAGTCTTTTGCAAGAACAGCTGGTGCTTTTAACCACTGAGCCATCCCTCCAGCCCCCAGATGTCTTATTTGTGCTTCTTGTTCTTTATTGCTTTCAAATAAATGTTATAGGTTTTCAACTCAAAGCCAGAAACTTATCCCAAGTAGATTTATGGCACTACTAAATACAATGAAACTGTGGCTCAGTATTTTTGTTCAAATACATTGAGAATTATTTACATAATCTCACAGTTCAGTCCTGAAGACAACTTCTTGAAAGTGAGAGACAAATGCTAAATAAAGGCATGTTTGTTTACCATATTCACTATTTTAGCTTTTCCTCCCCTGTTTTTACATTATTTTCTATTTCTTTCCTACAGATCAAGAACAGAAAGTCATCCAAAGTCCATGACCTTGTTAGATCATCTTGATGGCCACTATAAAGAATGTTCTATTTCCATGTGAACCAACAGTAATGCATGATTAAATATTCATTCCTGAAGTTATTTTACATGTGTGTTTGTGTGTGTGCATGAGTGTCTGTATAAGCCAAAGGACAAACTGGGATGTTCTTTCTTAGGAACCATCCACATTGTTTTTTGAGATAGGGTCTCTCGTCAGCCTGGAGCTTGCCAAATAGGCTAGGCTGGCTGGCCAGTGAGCCTCAAGAATCCTCCTGTTTCCACCTCCCCAGTGTTGGGATTATAAGCATATAATGTGGGTTCTAGAGAATGTGAACTCGAGTCCTCATATTTACACAGCAGACACTTTAGTAACTAAGCCATCTCCCTGGAAAGTGACATTTCAGTAATGACAAGCTTAGCCTTCCCTTCTATGGTGGTTTGAATGAAAATGTCCCCCCTAGGCTCCAAGTATTTGGACACTTTGTCCTTAGTTCATGGTGTTGTTTAGGAGACTTTAGGAGATGTAGTCATGCTGGAAGAAGCACTGGAGGCAGGCACAGAGAGTTCTTAAGCCTTGCTGAATTTCCTGTGGCTCTCTGTTCCTGTGCCTACTTGAAGATGTGAGTGCTCCTCCAGCCACCACTTGCTACCACGTCTCCCACCATGATGGACTCTAATCCCCCTGGAACTGTAAGCTAAATACATACTTCCTTCTGTAAGTTGCTTTGGTCAGTGTTTTTATCACAGCAACAGAAAAGCAACTAATATACAAGTTGATACCAAGAGTCGGGTTTTGGAGGAATGTAGAAGACTTTGGAAGCTGGACTAGAAAAGGGGTTGAACACTGTAAGTAGAGCTTAATAGGTCATTCTAGTAGGAGCCTGGAAGAAAGTAGTGCTGAGAACAATGTAGCTCCAGAAGGAAGTAAGGACTTAAGCAGTTGGGATATTTTAGCAGAGTCTGGCTGGAGTCTGCCCATAGCCAAAAAGCTCACCTGAGGCCAAGTTGAAAAGTAATGGACTATTTTCTTTGGTGGAGGAAATTTCAAGACAGCCTCATGTAGAAATGATGTGATTATTAATGGTGAATATTTATGCAGCTCTACAGTGAAAAAGAGCAAATCAGGCATAAAGAAATGCAGAATGTACAGTTTGGATTGAAAAAGGGAAGATTAATGTTGGAGCCAAGGTATATGCTGAAGAGAGACTGTCTTTGATAAGGAGATTAAAGTCTTTAAGGAGAGGCCTAGAGATTTTCACCTAAACATGGGAAAGAGTACCTTCAGGGCAAGACCCCACACAGCTAAGCCTCCAATTTGTGAAAGGAAAATGCCAGAGTGGTTTTAGAAAACCACAGCAGAGGAAAGTTGCAAATGTGGATGAAGCAGAACAGGGTCCATCCCAAACTTGCAGCCAAACTTGGCAGTGTCATTTACATGGTGTGGGCTTAAGTGGCATGGAAGATGATAGAGTGAAGGAACCACTGGTTCTTCCTCCACAGTTTTAGAGTTGCCCTGGCCAGGCAGTGTGCAGTAGTGGTGTGAGAAGGCTCTGACAGGCCAAGAGGCCCTGAGAGGCCATTGCATGAAGCTGTGAAGGTGAAGCCTGGTTGGTAGTGCAGACCCAAAGAAGACATTTGAGATGCCAAAGCTGTGAGACAAATGCTGTAGTGGTTTGAATGAAAATGTCCCCCACAGGCTTCAAGTGTTTGGATATTTTGTCACCAGATGATGGCATTGTTTGGGAGGTTTTAAAAGGTGTGACTGTCCTGGAGGAAACACGTCACTGGGGGTGGGCTTAGAGAGTTCTTAAGCCTTGCCAGATCTCCAGTTGGTCTCTTGCCTCCTGTGCCTGGTGATGATGTGAGAGCTTCACTTCTGCTGCTCCTGCTCCAGCCACCTCTAGCCACCATGCCTCCCTGCCATGACAGACTGTAATTCCCCTGGAACCATAAGCTCAAATAAACTCTTCCTTCTATAAATTGCTTTGGTCAGTGTTCCTATCACAGCAACAGAACAGTGACTAATACAGATAGCAAGGACAGAGACTGGTACCAGCCCTAGAGAAAAGTGTCTGTTACATGCAGCAAAGCTGAAGGGGCTAAGCTATCTAAGCTCCTTGGAAGTTAAGTCCCAGAAGTCAGACATATAGCTACTGGATTTGGTGTTTGCCCTGCTGGTTTTTGGTCTTGTTTTGATCCAGTATGCCCCCATTCCTCCATTTTGGAATGGGAGTGTGTATTTGGTTCCATTGTATGTTGGACATATGTAATTTGTCTTTTGATTTTACAGGGGCTTACACTTAAGAGATTGCCTTCAGTCTCAGAAGAGACTTTGGACTCTGGACTTGAATAGTGTTGACACTGGTAGACTATGGGGACTTTTGAAGATGGACTACATGCATTTTGCATCTTATATGGTCATGAGCCTATGGTGGCCAGGAAGTGGAATGTGGTGGTTTGAATGAAAATGTCCCCCACAGATTCCAAGTGTTAGGACACTTTGTTCTCTGTTGGTGGCACTGTTTTGGGAGGTTTTAGGAGGTGTGGCTATGCCAGAGGAAGCACATCACTGGGGGCGGGCTTAAAGAGCTCTTAAGCCTTGCTAGATTTCCTGTAGCTCTGTTTCCTATGCCTGCTTGAAGAAGTGAGTTCTCCACCAGCCACCACCTGCCTCCATGCTTCCCCACCTGGAACAGTAAGATAAATAAACTCTTCCTTGTACAAGTTGCCTTGGTCAGTGTTTCTATCATAGGAACAGAAAAGTAACTAATATACCTTCTGTCCTCAGAAGTGTGTGTTCTCTGCTTGTTATCATAGATTGTTCTGTAACTTGGAGCACCCCCTCAAAACTTAATTCTTAACTTCATCCCTTGGCCACTGCTCCATCATTTCCATCTGACCTATCACAGTTACCTCTTAATCGGTGTTTCTGCCTCCAGGTTTGCCCCCTCCATTGCTTCCCTTTGATTAAATCCCAAAACAAGGTAACATCAGTCTTACCTCTAGGAAGGTGTTCTATCAACCACAGTACAGCTCTCTACAGGTATGCCCTCTGTCCACTCCCTCTTCCTCTCTCCTGGTCTGACCCTGCAGCCATTCTACCATGCCCAGCTAGCTTTTGTCTGACCTCCATCCTCATCCTCTCACCTCCAGTGTATTGGTTCTGTCCATCATCTCCTGCACTTAGCACTGGCCTGCATACGACAGCTGACCACTACCTTCCTGCACCCTCACCAGGGCCTTTCTTCCCACTCTGCTGCAGAGTGCCCTGCAGGCCCTCATATAGAACCAAAGTGGGTGAGGTTGCCAGCTCAAAGGCCTACATTTAGCAGTTCTGCAGAAAAGGGACCACAAAGGTAGAAGGGACGTCTAGAGCCTAGAAAAATGAGTATTGGAGGGGGAGGGAAACTTTACATGAGGGTCACTGGATTTTTTAGTACAGTATTCAGTTTTTAAGCTGTGTTGGAATAGACTGAAATGAAAATTTGAAGATGAGAGTGAAGTTTCACTGTGAGCATTGGAGCAGGCACACACAGGGAGAGATGAGGCTGACCAGAGAGACCTGGGGAGTAGCCGGTTTCAGGATGCTGCATCTGAGGATATGTGCATGTTGAGGGGAGTGATGCACTGGAGAAGCAGAAATTTACTGTGAGGCAGAGAGAGCTGTTCCAGAAACACATGCCTTTGAGCAGGTGATGAGATCCAAACCTCAAATGGTGGCTAGCCTTCCATAAGCCTGTAAACATTTTACCATGAAAGAAAGGAGATGCCCATCCTGAGGGCATCTGTCCTGAGGGGACAGAGGCAGATAAGTGGTAGGTTTTGTGGTGAGCAACCTTCCCCAGTTTTTTTTTTTTTAACGAAATATGAGCTGGGGATGGCAGGGAGGCCCTCCTGCTTAGTGAGAAGTTGGCAAGGACAGCCTGGTTTTCTGCTCCCTTTCCCCTACTGCCTTACCCTCATAAAAATCACAAAAGAATTTTTTTCCTGAGATCTAGTACAAAAAAAATTTAATTCTTTTTTGCTCTTTGCTACATAAAAGAACACTTGTTTGTTCATAAACAATAAGCATGTTTTTTATATTTTATTAGGCCTATAATAAACACTGAGTTCCAAATTTATGGAGGAAAAATATAACTAACAAAACCATATTTCATTGATTCAATAAGTATTTACTACCTGGGCATGAGGGCCCACACCTGGAGTCCCAGCACTTGGGATGACTGGGGCAGAAGGACTGAATTTAATGCCAACCTGAGCAAGACTCTATCTCAAAACAAATTACAAATTGAGTTCCTGAGTTTCACATTGGTTTTTTTTGTTTTGTTTTTTTGGTCTTTTTGAGACAGGGCCTCTATGTAGCCCCAGCTGTCCTGGAACTCACTATATAGACCAGGCTGGCCTTGAACTCACAAAAATCCACCTGCCTCTGCCTCCCAAGTGCTGGGATTAAAGGCATGCGCCACCACACCCGGCCACATTGGTTTTTAACACTAAATCAGAGGCATAAAGACCCCTCACCGCACTCACTCCAGTGTTTACAGACTGGAGAGCAATGAACTACAGGAAGACAGCAATGTTATGTGGGTGGGGAGCTAGAGAGATGGCTCAGAGGTTAAAAGTATATACTGCTCTCGCAGAGGACCAAAGTTTGATTCCCACCACCCAGGTTGGGTGGCTCACAGCCTCCTATAACTCCAGCTCCAGGGAGATTTAGGATCTCTGAACATCTTAGGAACCTACACTTAACGTGTGCATCCTCCCCATACATGTAATATAAAATAATAAGAATAAATCCTAAAAAGAAAGATGTGAACACAGGAGATGTGAGAGTGGGAGATACACAAAGATTGTAATTTTAAGACGCATTAAAACATTTTTTATTTACATGTTTGTGTAAATGTGGGCCACATGTGTGTGGGTACCTACAGAGGCCAGAAGTGGGTGTTGAATCCCCTAAAACTGGAGTTATAGGCAGTAGTGAGCTGCCTGACATGGTTGCTGGGAACTGAACCCATGTCCTCTGGAAAAGCAGTAATCACTGTTAACTGCTGAAACACTTCTCCAGCCCAAGAGTTGTAATTTTAAAAACTTTTTA